CGACCTCGGGCGCTGGCGTTCTGCGCCCAGACCGCCCCGCAGAGGACGGAGCTGAGCTCAGAGGGGGACCTGCCCAAACCTGGCGCAGCCGGGAGCAAGCGGGCAGGACCCGAGTGGCCTCTGCTCCGGTCCCAAAGCTCAGTCCCCGCAGACGTCTTTATTTTGGGTTTCCCCTTTCACGTGCTTCTCTGAGGAGCACGTCGGCTGCGGGCAAGAGACGCAGAAAGGCCATTTCTGTCTGGGAGGGTAAGCGGGGCTCAGAGGCGGCCCACGTGGGCGGCCCCGCAGAGGCCTGGCCGCATCTGCCACGGGGGCCTCTGTGGCAAAGCCAGCAAGCACCCCAGGGCGCGGCTGCCATGTGTCGGCACCTCCTCCTTGGAGGAGCAGCAGCCTGGCTTTGACGCTCCGTGGGGGATGGTGGAGATGGACGTTTCCAGAAGGGAGGACGCCCACCCCAAGTCTGGCTGCCCACGAGCCAGCAGCATAAACAGTTCTCAGAGGGGCTCCCGAGAAAGGACACAGAGTTCTCTGGAAACCCTCGTGTGTCCAGGCCAGGAGAGTCGCCAGAGGCCCCCCGAGCAGGGAGGGGCCAGGTCGGGGCTGGGAGACAGGAAGTCATGGCCTCCCGTCTCGGAGTGTCCCTTGTGGCCCATGGGGAGCCCCAGGGCGGGGCCACGTCTCCTGTGCGCCCAGCAGCTGATCCAGCTGTAGAAGACGCCGGGCTTCCAGGCACCCCGGCAGCTCCAGCTCATCAGGTGTGAACCACTCACTTCCTCTACCACTCAGACTGAGCCAAACTGGCTACGTCTGGTGTAAACCACTTTCAGACGGCCTTTGCGCACCTCCTTGCCCCTTCCTGTCTGCTCTGGGCAAAGCCAGTGTCTGTCCTGAGTGGCTGGTTCCTGTGCCTCTGGGGTTAAGCCCTTTCCTGGGGCTGGATGCTGATGTCACCCCAAGGCATTAGGGGTCCCAAGGACCCCCGTTCTGGGCAGGAGGACTCTAGGTGGGGGAGGGAGTGGAGGACACAGCCGGAAATGCCAGGCCTGAGGGGGCGTGGCACTGACCTGCGGCCGGTCAGTCTCCCGTCGCCTTCTCTGCGCGAGGCTGGCTGGGGCTTGCCAAGGGAAGCGTCTGCCATCCTCTGGGGGCTTCTAAGGGGACACCTGGGTTCCTATGACCTCCGCTAGGTTCTGGGTCCAAACCACTTCGCAGGGCTCAAGCACTTACTTGGGCTCCAAGGTATGAGACTGAGGGTGGAGGAGGAGGGGGCTTTCTGGCAGATGGTGGGACCCCAGGCCTGTAGCTTGAGAGAAAGTGCAGCTCCTAGGATGGCCCTCAGTTGACGGTAGTGGGCTCCGAAGTAGGGCTCACCTGCCTGGATCCTTCCTTCATCCTTCCCATCAATGTCTCCAACCATCTGTCCATCCATCAGCCATCAGCCATCCACTGACATCAAGAGCCTATTTATGCCAGACTCTGCTCTAGACTTTGGGAGTGAAACGTAGATTCAGACATGGTCCCTCTCCTCACAGCCTGGAAGAGAGTCTGACAGGAAAGCAAATGGTCTTGATGGAGGGGTGTGCAAAGTAGATGGCTGGGTGGAGGGGCTGGGTGAGTTCTTCCCTGGGGGCCAAGGGAGGTCTTCACAGAAGAGAAGATGTTCAGCAGGTTCCCGAAGGATCAGCCAGGCAGGAAGGAGAAGGAAGAGCATTACAAGCAAAGGAACTGGCAGGTGCAAAGGCACTGAGGCATCGAAGAGCTGGGTGTGTGCTGTGCCTGGCAAATGGTCTAGGGGGCAACTACATCAGTGGGGCAAGTGGAAGGAGGTGGTGCTGGAAAGGTAGGCTGGTCCAGAGCAAGGCAGCCCTGAAACCCATGCCAAGGAGTGCAGACACAGCCCATGGCTACGGAGAATCCACGGGTACCTGCCTCAGTGGCTCTGTCTGCACCTGGAGGGTGTCTGGCCCAGCCTCCTCTCAGGCTCTCCCCACAGGCCTCCGTCCCTGTGCCTCCCAGGCCAGGATCATGCCTACCCTGAGACTGTCAGCACGGGAAGAGACCCCTACGGCGGGCGGCTGTAGCCTGAGGCATGTGTGGACTCCCAGCTCGCCAGGAAGGGCTGCCCGAGCGCATCTCTCTTCTGGTCACGCCCCCGCCCCAGCCACAAACAAGTGAGTTCTTCCACGTGGACTCACTGTCTCAGCTCGGAAGTGGCCCCACACGCCCTCCTTTACCAGAGGGGGGCCTGAGTCCGTGCCTGCCCACAGCTGTCATCACCGCCCGACTTCCTGGCACTGCGCCGTGGCACCTGGTCATCTCCGGCTCTGTGCTGACACGTTTTATTACAAAACCTTCAGAAGTTCTGCGAATCGGCTCCCGGAGATCGTGCTCCCCACAACCGCCTGCATGAGCCTCGGGGCCTCAACCACAAGGCGACCACAGCGCATCAGCCACTTCTGCTCTGAGCCGAGCCTGGGGCCCTTTCCCCTCTGCCCTCCCCCCCAGCCCCAGCTGGGCTCACCACGCTTCCCCTTCTGGCTTTTCCTTCTTCTAAATCTTAGACACTGCAGGGAAGCAGAGCGAGGCCCTGGTGAGCTGCGAGGCCGGTCCAGCACAGGGGTGAGCCCCGAGCAGGCCGGAGGGCAGGTGGAGGGTCCTGTTTGGAGGAAGGCTGGGGAGGGGAGGGGCGGGGCCGGGCGGGCAGGAGATTCTGGCCGCTGAATCAACCTACTCTTCCCACAGAGCTCCCCTGGCTTCTAGAAAAGGCCCCAGCCAAGGAGCCTCTCAGGAGAGCAGAGTGAGGGTGTGTGTGTGTGTGTGTGTGTGTGTGTGTGTGTGTGCCAGGGAGGGACAGACCCCAGCATGACACAGACAGAGAAGAATCTGTGTGAGAGCGAATGAGACTGTTGGTCTCGATTTTCCTTCTCCTCCTCCTCTGCTCTCTGCCCAGTGACTGTCACAGGGCCCGCCTTACAGTACCTGCTCAGGACATGTTTACTGAGCAAATGAATAAACTAGGGCCTGACATTCTAGCACGCAGAGGTATATTAGGCCCAGCCAAGAATCGTGTTAGGGGTTCAGGACCCCCTGCCCCATTTTCCCTCCAGGGTCTAACCGGTGAGGCTTGTACACATGGGCCATGGTTCCAAGAAGGCCAAGTCTTAGCACATCCCAGGCCAGCTGAGCACCTGGCACCCTGGGGAGCAGGGAGCGGGGCCCCCACACCCGAGCACAAGAAGTAAGAGGCAGGGGTCACTGGCGAGCGCCACGGCTCAGGGAGGCTCTGCCCTGCCCAGGCGGGATCCAGCCCAGGACGGCGGGCTCGCCACTTACATCAGCAGCGTGTCGGAAGCCCCCTCCCCAGCTCGCTCCTGGCGCGGGGCAGGAGAGGCCCCCCACTCCCCACGAGCAGGTGGGGAAGGGAGAGGAGGGGAGAAGTTCCTTCTCCTGCAGCTTCGCCTCTGAAACCCGAGTCCGTCTCCCTCCACTGGGACCACTGCTGTTTTAGGAGAAATGAGAACAACTGGACGAGTGTCTGCTGGTCACCTGGCTGAGGTGGGCTAATGACAATAACCAAGGGCTCTTTACAGTTGACAAGCCACTTCCATGTCCAGGGTCGCACAGGGGTGCCCCGTCAACCAGTGGAGCAGGTGTCTCATTCCTGTCTTACAGGTGAGGAAATGGAGATACCTGCTTAGGGTCACGTGGGAGGTGGGGAATGGGTCTGACCAGACTCCCACCCCCTCAACCCTGCGAGCTGAGCTCCGGGCCGAGAGGAGGAAGGGGGCCGGGATGCTGAGGGCGGGGTCACGACGTGGGGTCTGGGGTTGAGGAGGCCGCAGCCAGCAGGCGCAGGCTCTGGTTCTTGCTATTTGTTCTGTGCCCAGAAAAAGACACATGTAGGTTTCCATACAATTTCAGGGGGCTCAGGGGTGCTCTCCTGGAGAGAGGGAGGGGACCCAGAAGGGAAGAGAGGACAGCGCTGAAGCCAGTGGCAGCCCGCCCGTCCTGCCCTCCCAGTGAAATGCCTGACTCGCTTGGGTCAAAGTGACTTCTGAGAAAATAGGATGTTTTTCCTCCCAAGCCCAACACAAAACACGTGGTATTCAGGAATACTCCGTTCTTTAAAAAAATTTTTTTTGTTTATTTAGGGGAGAGGTAATTACGTTTTTAAATTTTTAAAATTTATTTAATGGAGGTATGGAGGATGAAACCCAGGACCTCATGCATGCTGAGCGCCCGCTCTACCCCTGAGCTCCTCCGGCCCCCGCCCCCGGGCAATTTGTCCTTGGCCTTATACTCTGCCGTGCAGTCACGGACGGTGACGTCCCCAACAAGAGTCCCAGTGATGGCTAAGCCAAAGCGGCGAGCAGCAGTGTGCCGCGAAACAGGGACGGCTGTAAACCCTGTAGACTTCTGCTGTGCTGTAACACTAAACCCTTCTTCAAGTCCCATAAAAGGGACACGTTGGCGTCATACCGTGGCCCCACGGGGAGCCCCGGTGGCTATAAAATCTAAAGACAGATAATGCAGTGTCCACCTCTGCTGCGTCGTGAGTCCAGCCTACACTGATGTCTGCCTTTAATAAGCATTCACTCCATTTTTATTCAAGAAACTTTGTTTTTACTGTGCTGCAGTTTGGAAGCGTTTTCAAAGGCAATTAGGAAGGCTGACATCTGAGAAACAAGAACTACTGAGAAAAGTAGGGACAGGCGCCCCCTGCTTTCAGACGCATCCCCACGGCGGACGGGCCTTCTGTTCCGCTGTGCTGCCTTCGAGGCTGCGTCCAGCTTGGCGGCCGGAGGGGCGGTGCTGTCATGGCCGTGATGGCGTGGCCCGGAGCCGCACCAGCCGTCACCTTGGGAAGGGAGCCCTACACCTTCCCTTCCAGGCAGAAGCCCGGCCTGCCCAGAGGCCCAGAAACCTGCCCGAGGCCCCCCAGGGATTGAATGCAGGCCTGTGTCACTTTAAAGCCACAGTTCTTTCAACTGAATGAACAGTACGCAGTGGGGAGAAGGGGATACGGGCTTTAATTAATTGCAGCAAAAGTGGAACTTGTTGGAAAAAAGACTGATTGTGCCTTTTACCCCTTGCTAGGCAGAGAGATCCAGGGCGGGGCGGAGGCAGACGCCCAGGTTTGGGGCGGGCGCCAGACTGGAAGGCTGACTCCTGTCCCATTGGGGAGCAGAGGGTCCTTGCTCAGTCACCCATCTCTGGTCTGTCTTTTCTGTCCTCTGGGCCCAGCTTGGGTCTGGGAAGCTGTGTGGCCTGCGCAAGGGAACACCTGTCCTTTGAGAGCCCACCCCAGCCCAGGTGCGCTGTGGCCCCTGCGTCCTCACTGCCACTCTGCGTGTCCAGAATCACGCAGGTGGGGAAGCTGCACTTGCTAAGTGAGGGGCAGTGGGGCCCAGGACTGGGGGCATGGAACCCTGCCTTTCGACTCACTAGACCCGGGGGAGGGAACTTAGCACAGCGTTCTCACTACACACGGGGAGCACGGGGGTGCCTTGGCGATGGGGAAGATGCACGGGGTCGGGGGGAGATGCTGGCAAAGCTGGAGAGCACGGTACACGGGACACAGTGAGGGCTTAACCCACGCCAGCGAGCGTCACTCTTAAGAGGAAGGGCTGGGGTTCAGCCCCAGGTCAGCCTGACTCTCTCCACACCATCCAGGGACCACGTGCTGGATCCCTGCTCTGTGGCTTGTTTACAAGCTGCGTGACCTCAGACAAGCCACCTTCCTCTGGCCTCAGTTTCCCTTACTGTAAAGTGGGGATATTGCCTCACAAGGTGGTTCAGACCCAAGTGCATTAGAAGAAAGAAAACATTGAACGACTGAAGGCAGCACGCGGAGTTGAGCATCCGCTGGTGTTTCAGTGAGCGTTGGTCGGTGTGTTAGGATCAGTCCTTGTTCTCCTTGGGGCCTAAAGCACAGAACCCTAAGCCCCGCTCCCCTGGAGACCAGACAAATGGAGAGAGCGACACCCGGTAAGGGTGCAGGGCGGGAGCCAAGGGCCGTGGGAGGGGCTGCGTGCCCTGACGCCTGTGAGTGCCTGGGGCCCCGTCTTCCCGCCCCCGGGCTGTGACTACAGAATCTCAGCCCTTTGTTCCCGTCACCCCACTGCTAGATACGAGCGTCCCCTGGTTATTCGGGGCTCTGGTGTCCACCCCACCCCTCCTCTGCTGCTCGCGTCCCCACCGCCCCTGCCCAGCACACCCCCTGCTGCAGGAGGGGGCCTTTCCCGCTGGCCAGGGCACGGAGCACTGGCACCCAGCACGTTCCCGGCGGAGGCGGGAGGGCTGCAGCTGTCTCTGGGCCCCGGGGCAGCGCCGCATCTGCCCACAGTCCTGCAGAACCTTTTGACTTCTGACTCTCAAGCTTCTAGCTCTCAGAGCTCAACCCAGTCCCAGAGGCCAGATGAGAAGAGGTCCCATATCATCTCTTTCTCTGCTCTCTCCTCAGACCAGGCCCACAACCCAATATCTCCTTCACTCTCCCTCCCACAAAACAGAAGTATCTAGGCGTTATCGACAGCTACCAAATATCCTGGAGAACACGGGTGGGAGTATCACTTGCCCTAATGGTGTCTGGGCTCGGGGTTTAGCAGTTCCCACATGCCACACTGCATCCTTATAAAGATGCTAGGGGACAGATACTAGTAACCCATTTTGCAGATGAAGACACTGAGGCCCAGGGGAGAGAAGTTGGATCAAGGGTATTAGCTAGTAAGTGGCCGCGCTGGGATTCAGATGCAGGGCTGTTTGGTACCACCTTGCTTCCGGAAGCTGGAGGGACGACACCCTGAGAGCGCTAGGGCGGACTGTGGGCAGGTGGCAGGGTCTCTGGGTCCCTTCTCCCCGGGCACACAGGCATTAGCTGAGTTCCCCAGCCTTCCAAGCTCATCTGACGTGCCCATCCCAACCTCACTTTAATTACGCCTGCCCTTGAGAAAGCCAAGGACTTCGCGCTTCCCAGAAACCCAGGCTCCCTCAGAGTCTTCCAGCCACTGCCACGTGCAGGAGCCCCGAGGAGAGGTGGCCTCTCTGTCCTTGCTTCTAGTGTTGAAGTGGCCTACATCTGGGTCTGCAGGAGAACTCCCTCCCGCCCTTCCTTTCCATTCGTTCATTCTTTCTTACTATTTTCGGGATCTTAAATGCAACGTGCCCGAGATAACGCTGCTCCCACTTTCTTCCCTGCCCTTGGTGTCTTCAAATCTTCAAATCACACGCCGCACCAGCCAGTTTAGCATAAGAAATTAAATTAATTTTCATGCTTCAACTCCAGATGTAAATGCCTTTATTAATAATTTAAAGCACATTTATTTATGCAGTTTGATATTTTTCAGGTTCAGGGAAGCAATTAAGTTTTGCCCAAGCTGCTGATCAGCAGACAGTGTCTCCTGTGCCTCCTGGCCCTCCGGAGGGGCTGCGGGAGAGAGCAGCACGCGGGCCCGGCCACGCCCCTCCGGCCGCCGGCCGCCACCTCTGTGAGACTCGGGCTTTGGATTCGAAGAGAGCACAGTTGTTTGCGGGGGCCCGTGTCCAGAAAGGCCAATTTCTTCCTCAGAATGGCGCCGGGCTATTAAACTTGAAGACCTCGCGAGGGCCCGGCCACTGAAATTTCCTCCCTTCGCCTAGTTCCTGGGCGGCTGTCATTCGCTAAAAACCACTTTTATCTCAGGAAGCAATTTCTCCTCTGTTAAGGGCTTAGCTGCGGGGGGGTGAGAAGAGCCAGCTTGGCCACTTTGGCACCAGTGAGCGTGGGACACTTTGCCCCACCGTTTGTGCTCTCAGCAGGGGCTGGGGGTGGCTGGGGTGCCGGGGAGGCTGCGCCGGGTTAGGGGAACACATGGGGCGGGGGGGGACGGGGGGAACGCCACCGTCTCGTATTTGGCCGGGGGGGCAGCGTGATGTGGAAGCGGCGCTGGGCTGGAGTCAAGAGAGCTGGGCTCCGACGCAGCTCTGCACCGGCTCCCGTGACTCTCAGCAACCTCCCGGAGCCCCAGTGTGGTCGTCTGCGCCTGGGGGCGGCCCCTCCCTCCCGCGGTGAGTGCGGGAGGGCGTCCACTTTGGTGCCACGCTCAGGAGGGCCTGCCCTGCTCTCCTCCTGCGCGCCGTCCTGCCTCCTGACTGCCCCTCAAGGCCAAGTGCAGGGCCTCAGCACAGCAGGATCACCGAGGGATGGGCTGGGGGGCCCACTGGGCTTCGGTGGCCGCCTTAGCACTTCTCACTGTCAGAGCTTCGTCCCCGGAGGGGCATCAGTGTGGCGGCAGGGAGCTCTCCCTTGTCTGCGGACTCACCTCTGTCTCTCCAGCCCCAAGCCGATGCCCCGGCTTGCCACAGGCGCCCATAAATACGTTCTGAAAATGGAAGTGGAGGGGGAGGCTGCCGGGAGCCCGGGACAAGGGGAGGAGAGGGATGCAGCTGGGGGCTGCTCCGGGGCTGAGAGGGGCCCTAGGCTTGAGCCCGAGGCAGATGCAAGCTGTGGAGAGGGAGGGGGTCGCCAGAGGCTGGGAGAGGAGACGGCCGTGGAGGTCCCCGTGCAACCGGGGTCTAGTCCAGACAGGAGCCGCAGGGGCGCAGGGTCTGCTGCAGACACAGGCTTGGCGCCCACCTGGCTCAGACTCCGGCCCCTGCCATTCCCCTGGGTGCCTTCGGGTAATTAGCCAGCCTCCTTCAGCTCCTGATTCCCCGGAGGAGGGCTAGAAAACTGAGTGTATTGGTTCATTTGTGGTCCTTGTCCCCCTCCCTTCTAGGAAAGTCCTCTGAGGGAAGGGCTGTGTGCAGGGTGTGTGGCCGGAGCATCTAGGATCTGGTTACCAAGGAAGCAAAGCCTGACAATGGACCTTTGGACCTTAATGGGGAAAGAAGGAGACAGGGGCCTTTTCCTACGGCAGAGCTCAAGTGGGCGAGGGCGGGTCCTGGAGAGACACTAGCGGGAGGCACGTGGAGAAGGTGCAGACGGTGGGAGAGTCAAAGACTTCCAGCCTGTCCCTTGGGTCCCTGGGGGGGCTGTGACCTCCGGGAAAGCTGGCCTAAGTCTGGGTCCCAGGCTGGCCTTCCCCTGGGGCGTGACCATGTCATCCTGCCCCCTACCACCCCTGCCCGCTCAAGGCGTCCTGGACAAAAGCACTCAGCCGCCTCCAGGTGGACGCCTGCCTGTGGGACGCCCTAGACACCAGCATCCGGGGAGCACGGCTGCAGGGCACCTTGGTTGGAGTGGGAGGGGTGGGCCTCACCATTTACACATGAAAATCGGGGTGATGAGCGAGCGTATGGGGTGCCTCCTTCCTAGGTTTGTTCAGAGTGTGGTGCTCAGTCCCTTTTAGCTGTCATCCATAAAGGTCTCAGCCCTGGAGGCCAGAGTGACCTTGGGCAAGACACACCACCTCACTGAGCTCCATCTGGAGGACCGGGGCTGGCGGGTCTGCTCCGGGGAGCTACGATAAGGGAGAAAGGAGAGAAATTATACAGCCCGTAGTTGGCAGAAAATGTAGGAAAAAAGATTTCTCCACCCTCTTTCTCCCCAGAGCCCTGGAGGCGGTGGGGTGGGGTGCCGGCCAGCTTGTGACCCTCCCATGCGGGCCGGCTCTGCAGGGTTCAGATGCCCCCAAGCCTTCTCCCTGCCTTGTCCGCCGGGACCAGCAGCTGCCAAGGCATTGACGTGCCTCTGACATCCTTCCACTCAAGGGGGCCGAGGGATGGTGGTGCGGGACATGCCTGGTCTTCCTGCCCACATCTGGCTCAGCCCTCGGCCGGCTCCCACAGGTGGGCCCTGGAGGTGCTCCCGGCCAGCGGGGTGGGCTCCGGGCGGCAGAGGCTGATTTGCCCAGGGGCCGAGCCAGGGAGGCGGGGGCACCCCGACGCTTGGCTGGGCAGTGAACCCCCTGCACACTCAGTCTTTCCTGAGCTCCAAGCTGCTCAAACCTAGATATAGCAGGTGACAGATGGATGGAGCAGGAGGGACATCACTGGGCCCGTGAAGCCCAGGCACCTCATGGTCCCTATGGGGGAGCTAAGGTCGTGTGGGGCAGAGGACCAGAACTCAGATTTATTTCTTCAACAAGCCTGATTCAGAATGACCTGCAGCCTGGGCACTGTGGCAGGGAGCAGAGGTGACGGGGACCCAGCCCCTGTCTCTCACCCCAGATCTCCCTTTGCACCGGCTTCACGGGCATGAGCTCAGATGAGAGCACAGCCTTGTGTTGTGAATCACTTGGTCTCATGACCGAGCCTGCCAGTCCTCTGAGGACCCCCACCGCCCCACGCCCTGCGCAGACCCGGCCGCACACCTAGGGGCTCCGGGTCCCCGTGAGAGCGTCGCCCAGGCCTGCCTCTCACTCTCCTCTCTGTCACTTGCCATCTCCCTTGAAAAGCACAGACAGTGCTTTGGGGAACAGGATCGCCCCCTCTGACTCCACCAGCAAGCTGGCGATTGGGGCTCGTGGGCCGACTTAACCATCCAGCCCGCATTTTCCAAGACCTGAACCACCGCTGGGCTCATTTCCTGAGTCACTGAAGCTTCCCGGTCGTGTGAGTTTTAGGGATCTGGGGAGAGGCCTGGGGCTGTTTGACATCACCTATCCATCTCTGCAGGTGGGGTCGCATTTCTCCAGGAAGACTGCGGGAATTTGCTCTGCACAGCCGGCAGCCCGGGGCTGAAGGCAGGCTGCCGCCCACAGCTGGGGAATGACAGTGGTGCCTGGACGGCCTTCTGCTCTCACCGCACTTCCAGAAGCTGACGTCTAGAAGGGAGCTCCTGCCTTGAGCAAAGCAGAGTGCGAGGCGCTTGGCGGAGGGAGCAAGCCTGACCTCGGTGAGTTGAACCTGGGATGGGTGTGCTGGTACGTGCTTAATGACCAGCCTTCCACAGGAAAAAACACCAATTCGCCAGTTCCCGTGGTATAAACATCCCCCCGTGGCTGCCTGCAAGGTGCCAGTGTGGTGTCTGTGGAACGGTCGCAGGGAATCGTGTCTGGAGAGCAGGAAGAGGCTGGCTCCAGCACCCGCTGTCCCCAGCTAACCCTGTGGCAACGCACTTTGTAAAACGGGCTAAAATAGAAGGATAAGTACAAGTCTGGTCCCTGGACTGGGCAGCAATACCTTCCGACGGAGCTCCCTGGGGAGCCAGCCCGAGCTGCAGTCGGAGTCACGCTGCTCTGAAGGCTGGGTCCGTGCCCGCCCTCAGGCCTAAGCCACTGTCTGAGCCACCTGTCCCTTCTCTCCCATTTCGCCTTCCTTGGCTTCTTGGGCTGGACCCTCAGCCCTACGTGCTCGCCTTTGACCCTGAGTTTACTTCTAGCGGGTGGTTTGGATTTTCCGTGCGGACAGACGCTCATTCCTCTCATCACCAAGCGCGTCTGGAGCCCTTGTGGGGACACGTGCTGGGCGGTGCTCGTGGGGCCGTGGCCAGCGCCTGTGCTCTGCGACCACCACTGGGGACTCACGTTCGGGGGGTGTTGGGGGCGGGTGTTGAGTGGGTGCAGAGAGTGAAGTTGCACAGAGCAATAAATGTTGTCCTTGAACTCTGGCAACCAGCCAGAGGCCGGTCAGTCAGCACATAGACTCTTACCCTTAATTGATTTATCAGATTAGTGTTAATGGAACCCAGAGGAAGCTGGAGCCAGGCCGGAAGTGACTACAATAGAAGAGATTGCACCCTAGGATTCCTTCTGATCTTCAAACAGCCCCGAGAGGGAGGGGTTGTCCCCACTCTCCAGCCTGGGAACCAGGCCCAGAGAGGCTGATGGACTTTCCTGAGGTCGCCCAGCGACCAGTGTGAGTCCTGGCGGGCCTCCCGGGCACCCTGTGCCCGCTGCTCAGGCTGTGCAGATCCCAGAGCGTCCGGGTTCAACCCGCTCCCGGAACAGGCTTCTAGGGACAGCGAGGCATAGGCCCCTCCCGCGGGTCAGGCTGGGCTGCGCCGTTGCTCTGGACACTGCTTCCCTCCCTCCCTCACCGGCTCCTAGCCCCTCCGCCTTGGCCGGGCAGAGGGGAGCTGCTGTCATCTGAGCACACAGTCCAGGGCTGCACAGGAAAACGACATTGATTTATGTTCCAAACAGGCGAAGGGCGAGGCCAGGGGAGACGCAGGGTGGCGGGGCTGGCTGGGTGGTAAGCACGGGATCAAACAGAAGAAAAGTCTCCTGCGAGCCCCCCGACAAGCCACCCCCGAGTCCTGGGGAGGCGCGGGCTGAGAATCTCCCGCGGACGCCGAAATGGAGTCGCAGGTGAGGAGAAGTCAGCTCGGGGCTCGGGTGTGCCTTAGAGGGCTGAGTTCAATTAAAACCCTATTGATTTTCCCTGTTGATTAACACGCCCGGCACGTGAGGACGTCCCTCCGCCTCATCCCGCGTCACCGCTGAGTCTGGGCAATTTTATAATTGGCCCGAGGGGTTCTGATTTGAAACCAGAAAAGCCAGTTAGCAGGAGTCTCCTTTGACCTTCGGCTTGGGGTGGTAGGGGACGAGGTAATGACTTGAGACAGAGGGAAGGAAAAAAAACAAAACTAACCTAAAAATAAAAACAAAATATCAAGAGCAGAGACTTACATCTTCTTGGCTCCCTGATTAATAACCCCGTCACGCCGGTCACAAGCGCTAAACAGCGATGCTGGTTGCAGCTGAATTTTTTATACTTTCTATTAATCTTTAATGATAGCCTGGCCACCTACTCTCTTTTATCTTGTCAGATAAATGTATGGTTAACAGGATAATGAGATTTCTAAAGCCCCATTCCAGCTCCCAGCTACCTCGTGCACGCGGTGACCTCTGACCCCCGGCAGACAGCGGCACCAGGGTGCTTGTAATTGGTGGGTGTGCTGGGAATGTACTGGAAGCTGACGGATGGCTTAAACTTTGATTCGAGGTCAGCGAGGTCACAGAGCTCTGGAAGACCGGCCCGGTTTTATTACCAGCTGCCTCTGATGGGGATATAATTAGATTTAGCTATTGCTTTATTAACAAGTGCTCGCTTCCCCATGGCGGTGGGTGGGCAAATGTATTCCTTGGATAATTTGAGGACACGAGTCTGGCTTTATTAGTAAGAATATATCATCTATATTTGACCAGGCGCCGGCACTCATCTGGCTTGCTGGACTTTGGGGGAACTTTGTCACTTTTACTCATTTGCAGTATCGAGTAAATCGGCTGTGCCCTGTGAAATCTAGCTTCGCCTTGAACTCTGTCATGTAGGGAACCTCCCTCTCGGCCTGTTTCTCAATGACCGAAGAATAAAAAATATATAAATAATTTTATCCACCTGTCCATCCGTATGTTCATCCACCCGTTCCTCCATCCATCCATCCATCCATCCATCACCTCTTCATCTACCCAATCATGTGAGTTCTTGCTAAATGTTAGGTGCAGCCCTAGGAGAAGGGGAGGGGGTCCACAAAGAGTTAAAGACTTAATCCCTTTCGTAAGAGGTTTACAAGCAGACAAATAACTAACTTTCAAAGAAGGACGAGTTAAAAGCCATGAGGAAATACTAACAAAATGCTAGACGGTGCTTGGAAAGTGTGGAGCGTTGGACCTGAACATTAAAAGCATTCATACTCTGGTAACAGCTCTTAACTTTACTTGCATTTTTCAGAGAAGGGCTGGGGTGCAGGAAGGAGGAAGACTTGAAGGAAGGGCTGAGGAGTTTCTGTAAATATCTGAAAATTTGGAGACTTTCCCCCATGCATGCTCATAACAGAAAGTAGAAAGGAACAGGGGAAGAAAGGGAGAGAAACCAAGTGTAGAAGAAGGAGAGTTAAAGAGATCACTCATTAGTCCCGGACTCTAATTCAGCGTCTGCTACGGAGCATCTGCTGCGTGGAGGCCGCATCCCGGCTGGGACCAGCCTCCCCACTCACCTGAAGGCCACCCCGACACGAAGACTGCGGTTCCAATGCTCAGTCCTCTGGTACCTACCCGTGTCACTCTATTCTGAAACACTGTAACCTTGGTACTTTGGGTGGTTAAATACCATCATGTAGGCATTTTTAAAAACACTTGCCACGTGCTACGCTGGGCACCTCTCCTCTACCTGGTGACCAGGGGTTCATCTCCTGCTATCTTAACAGGCACCTAGAGGCATGCGCTGCACCGAACATTCCTCATCGAGCAAAGGAGTGCGCTTTTAACAAGTGTTCTGACCACATCTTCACTATGTTTCATCTAATCCAAGACGCACTGTCCTGTTATGCACCATGGAAAGGAAGAGCACTGCTCTTCTAGGCCCCTAGTTATCCAGTGACACGCTACTGACTGTGGGATGCACCCAGGTTCCCAAACGTGAGAATGCGGAAGAAAAGAAACACGTTTCACAGACGATGGTAGTTGAGACCTTCCTCCAACACGTTGTTTTCTTTCTCGTTCCTTGGTTTCCTTGGGACGGTGAACACATTTTCTTGGGTCTGCTGACCGGTTGTTCTCTAGAGCCAGTTGGGCTTCGGTCTACTCCCAGAGCCTCAGACGGCGTCTCCGTTAAGAAGAGAATGGAGTGCAGTGGCGGGGGGAGGTGGCCCTGGCCTGGTTCCCCAGCCTTGCCTGGAGAGACCCTGCCGCCTCTTGCTCTAGAGATGGAGTCCCTCTGCTCTCCTCCCCTGCCTTGCTCCTGGACCACATCCATCCTCCTAGGGCCTGAGCCTCTCCAAGAATCACTTACCTCTACTAGGAGGCCCTCAAGAGTAGTGGACGGGAACATCCCACCAGGAGTTTCCTCAGTCCTGGCCTTAGACTCTCCCGGATGGAGCAGCGTCTGAAGGCAAAGGGTGGAAGGCAATGGGGAGTTGGTAAGAAGTCACCACTGGTAGAAAAGCTACTCAGCCCTTTCCCTCTGGTTGTGGCAACTGTTCTTGGCCATTAACTCTCAGTCACTCAGGGAATTTTCAGGTGGAGCTAGAAGGATCTAGAAGCTACATGTATACTTATTTCACAGACCCCATCTAATGTCTGCCCGGAGAAACGGCTCCTTTCTAAGGGCCCTTCCAGTAACTACATTTATTGAGCATCTGAGAGGCACTGGGTATCGCCTTCTCAGCTGTGCTAGTCAGGACAGGCTGGGTTATGCTGCAGAGACAAGCACCCAGTTGTTGGTGACTTAAGCCAGTGAGAGTCCATGGGTCTTGTCACTGGCGGAGGGTCCAGCGTGGGCATCGCCATCAGGCGGCTCTGCTGGCCGGCTCTCCTCCGGGAGGCCACACAGGGGTCCAGCTCCTTCTTACTCAGCTTAGGCTCTGCTGGCCTCGAGAGCCTCACCGTCTCCCAGGCCTTAGAGCCCGTCAAGTGCTCCTCGGGGTCTTCTGCACCCAGCCAGCCAACCAGCAAGGGGTGCCTGGGGAGGGTCCAGGGGCCGGGCCTGCCAGTGGCAAATCTCACTTCCGCCACATTCCACTGGCCAGAGCTTGTCCCATGGCCCTGCTCAGGTATGAGGGCCATGCCCAGGAGGAGCCTGAAATGTGCAAGTGATCACTTACTGTTGCCTCTTCCTCTCCAAAAATGGCCTCCACTGGCAAGTGGCATGAAGATGCAAACTCAAAATAGTGTCCCCTTCCTTGTTGCGCCAGGGCCTAGAATCCACTGTGGGACAAAATTAAGTGAGCAACCAATAACAGAGCAACAAAACCCAAAGAGCAACACACACACGCTTGGCCGTTCACACCGCAAGCTGCTCTGAGACCCCACAGTGGCCCTGCTTCGTCACTCCTGAGAAGGGCAGGTTGCCCCAAAGAGGAGGGGCAGTCTGCAGAGGGGACAAGGGTCTGGAAGCCAAGGTCCTGGGTTCGAGCCCCACCCTCCCCGTTGTTGGCTGATGGTGTTAAGCGAGAGCCTTCCTGTCTCTGAGCGCCGGGACTCTCCTCAGTGGTAAAACTGCATAAACCAAAGTGGAGTTTTCTGATCTTACAACAGGATGCTGACAAATCCTGGTGTATTCACGGAGTCCACAAGACAATAGTTTTGAAACCAGGACCAAAGCAGTGGACTAAGTAACACTGTGTAGGACTAACTTAGTTTCCCGTTGCTGCTCTAACGAATTACGTGAGTGGCTGACAAGCTAACTGAATGGCTTAAAGCAACCCACTCTTATTCTCTTACAGCCCTGGAGGTCAGAATTCAGAAATGAATCTCATGGAGCTAAAATCAAAATATCAGCACGTCTGGCTCCTTCCGAAGCTGCCTTGCCTCTTCCAGCTTCTAGGGCTGCCGCATTCCTCTGCTCACCCCCTCTCGGTGTACCCTCCCACCTGCCAGCCTTTCTTAGGCCGAGAACAAATCTCCGGTGTGGTGGTGAAGAGGCTGGGCTCCTGGGCCCGTCTGCTTGCATTTAATTCAAGCTCTACCACGTGATACCATCCAACACTGGCTCTGTGACCTGGGAAAGCTGCTCTGCTTCTCTGTGCCTTGGTTTCCCCACCTGTGAATTGGGATATAATGGCAGCCACTTCAGAGAGCACTGTGAGGACTCGGTGAGTTGACACCACCAATGGGAAGGGCATTTGAGGGCCCTGAGCATCCCCAGACCACAGGCCCCATGCACCCCTGTTCCCCCCGACCCACGCCAACCTCAGCAGAGACAACCACATCAGAGGCAAGCCATCGCCTAAATGAACCAACTTCCAGATCAGTTTATTATCAAAACAGTATAAACATTGTTTGTATGCCCAATAAACAGTTCCTCAGCTCTGCAAAGTGAAATATTCCTTTCATTATGAAACTGAGAAGCCATTTATCCCGCGTCCTAAGTGGTGTAAATAGACCGCGTGGCAGTCAGCGGAGGGATAATGGCACTGTTTATTTTCACTAGCTCAGGATGGGCTGACACAGCGTGTACCCGGGGCGCGAGCGGGGCTCCTGGAAGGGGACCCGCAAATCCGTCACTCCCGCCAAGAACAAGGTGCCGGGCATCTGTCGTCAGGCTCTGCGTGCCAGGTGCAGGCAGGCGGGGGATGTCGGGATTCCACCTGGCACCTGGAGGAGCCAGCTCCGCGCTGCAGCTGAGAGAGGTCCCCGCGGAGGGGGGAGCTGGTGGACCTGGGCGCCCGATGACCCCCCCACCTCGCTGCTCAAGATCGCCGTCGCACAGGGCCTCAGGCATGAGCCTGCAAGCGACCTCGCAGCGCAGGAAGCTGCCCACCCCAGTGAGTGTGGCAGGACCAGACGCCGAGGCTGAGAACGGGGTCCAGGGTCAGGCTCCGCTCTCTCAAACATGGGGTATCGGGCAAGTCCTTGGCTCCCTGCCCCCTGTCCACTTGTTTCTGCAGCGGGGACGTGACTGAATGGAGCGTGTGTAGGTGTTCAGCTTTGTGCAAGCTCATGCCCTGATTTTTCTGGAGAGGAAACAGAATTCCATAGACAGAAGGTCAGTGGCTCGTGGGCGATTCCAGATCAGACCTAGGTCTCCTGGCTCCTGGTCATGAGTTCTTCCCACCAGTGCGTTCCTCGGATTAAACATCATCTCTGGAAAGGCAGCGCCACTGTCTCTACATGCACTGCGTGCCTCCAGGGCGTGGGGGCGGCTATTTCCATGGATGGCGCCCACCAGGGTGGTGGGCACACTTCCTGCACAGCTGGAGGGGGTGGTCTCCATGGGCTGAAGGCCTCAGCTCGGAACAAATGTGTTTCTAAGGAACAGAGGACACCTTGGCCCACTGACACTTCGGTACAGATTAATTTTATTCCCTCCCTGGCAGAACATAGCAATCAACAGAGTTGGAACCTGAGACACTGTGTTACTTTGGAGTTTCAGGATTAGAAGGACCAGGACTTGGGACACAGCCTGGGTTGAAGGCTCTGCATCACTGGGGGGCGGGTATGTTGACCCCATGAGCACCTAAGATAAGGAAGGGGAGATGGGAGAACCCTCAGTTGGAAGGGATGAATGTGGATGCTGGACGGGAGCCTTTCCCTGAAGAAGGCCATGATGAGTCACTTCATCTCTTTGAGACTCACTCTTTTCATCTCTACAATGGGCATAATAATATCTCACAATTCCGAAGAGCAGAGGCTAGACCGGAAGATCCTCACAGGGCTGTGCCAGCCCCAGAGTCTCCGCTGGGCTGAGTCAGTCCTGTGAGGCGGGTGGGAAGCTGTATGCGTGTTTAGGATTCTTCCCCACTAGAGTGGCCGGGAGCCCCTGGTTGGGTGGGGAATGAGGGAGCCGAAGGCTGCTGGGGCGCAGGCAGGGTCTGGCGGGAAGTGACCAGAACAGAGGGCTTGGGCCCTTTCGCTGAGCGGAGAACCAAGGTTTCAGCCGTTGACATGAGGGCAGGGAGATGGGGCCGTGCCTGGGTCCGACCTGAGGGTCTGGGTGTGTGTGTGGCGGAGGAGGTGCCCGGGTGGGCTTGGCCCCACAAAGGGCTGGGAGAGGGTTCAGGAAAGGATGCACAGAGCGAGTGTGAAGCCCTCCGGGTGCAGGCCACCTGCTGTCCCCAGCGTCGGTCAGGCCAGGGCAGAGGCTGGAATCGCTCCACGTGTTCCAAGCAGATTTAAGGCAAGGAGTGGGTTACAAGGGGCGAAAAGATCAGAGGGAAAAAGGAAGTGAAGCTCCTTACCCTTCCACCGGGGGCTGCTCCCGTGCGGGGGCTGAGGCCCTCAGCCCTGTGCAGCCCAGCTGCCCTGCCGGGCGCAGCCCCCCAGTGGGCACCTGGAGCTGCTCTTCTGCAGATGTGCTGGGACCGCCTCTGACCTGCTGCAACCCCCGGGCCCCGGCTGCCCCGGCGCACAGCCCCGCCGCTGCTGGAGGCACTGGATGGCAGCAGACAAAGGCTTTCTCCCTCTTCCCTGCCTTCCAGTCTCCTGCAAGTACTTCCTATGGGCTGAACCTCATGGGAAGCCAGCAGGCAAGGGAGTCTGGGAAATGTAGTTTGCAGGGATAGTCCTGGGGAAGGCGGCAGGAGGGGAGAGTGTGACACTGAGGGCCAACCTGCATTATCTGGAGCAACCCGCGGCCACCGGATACATCATCCGAGGTGAAAGTTTACTCTGGATCCTTCTAACCACTTTTTTTTGTGGTGGGTTTTATCCTGTCCATTTTAGGCATGAGGCTCAGAGAGGTTCACTACAATGCCCGGGGTCACACAACCAGCAAGTAGCAGAGCTGAGGTCTGAGCCCTGAGCGTCTGCTCCTTTATGCTTGGGGCACTGCTGGTCACTGGGTTCAGCTGAGCCAGGGCTTTGAACAGGTGGCCGCTCCCAGCAGGAACCAGGGATTTGGGCGGAAGCCAGAAAGCCAGGTGAGGCTCGCTAAGTGGGAGGTAGGGTGGGGGAGGCTCAAGCCCACGCGGTCCCCTGGGGCTGAGTTCGCCAGCAGGCTGCCGGGCTCGGGAGCAGTGGGTGTGCCCGCTCCCGTCCGGTGTGGAAGGCAGTGCTACCCCACTCTTGAGCCAGTGTTTTACTGCCCAGAGTCGGGTGGGGGAGATGGGGCCTGACCACTGCCCACATTTGGGGGGGGGAGCTGTGTGACCACGGCAGCGTGCCAGAGCAGAGCAGTCATGGGTCCGAGAAGCCTGGGGCAGCCTTGGCTCTTTGCTCCTCCAATGTGGAGGAGGTGTAGGGATCCAGGGACCGACCGCAACTGGATGGAGAGAATGCCCCGGTGCGTGGCACTCTGGAGCCGGGGCCACACGGTCCCACACCCGGCATCACTCTGGCTGACGGTGGCAGGGCAGTCAGTGTGGCAGCGAGGTTGGTGGACCAAAATCCAGAGGCCGGGGCTGGCGTTCCAGCTGTCATCCCCTCACTGAGCCAGCGTAGGCAGATCACAGTCACTTCTGCGATTCTGCCGAGAAGTGGTTGCAAATACCACCTGTAAGGAATAGGAAAGACCCTCAGGGGAGGCCGTGGCCACTTGGGGGCGGCACTGAGCGCCCTTTCCTCCTCCATCCGGAACGCTGCAGCTTTTCCAACAGTCTATTTCCTTGCCCCTTTCTCGAAGTCCCCCAGCTTGGCCTTCTTTGCTCCTTGTTGGCTAACTTTGGCTTTATCGGAACCACTGAAGGGGCCTTGAGGCTTAAGTCGACGCCATGGCTGGGGAATCTGGGGACGAGAGACGGGGTGGGGCTTGGTTCTGGCCGCACAGTTGCTGTGGACAGTGGAACTTGGAGGCCAGGGCTCCTGACCTCCCATCTAATACTCTTCTCAGCGAAGCCCTTGGGAAGATCCCTGGCTCCCAGGAAGACTCTTACGTTGGAATAAATAAGCCTCATTGGGATGACTTGGGAGAAGCAGGTTTGACTTCAGCCTCCCAAGACTGTCGGCTCAGTCTCCTCTCCCCTCACACTCCCAGTGTGTCCTCACCTGCCGCCTTCCCACCCAGATCAGGTATCTATTGCCGAAGAAGGCCACGCAAGAACCACCCCAAAGCTCAGCGACCCAGGATGACAGTTGATCCGGCTCGCACTTGTGCTGGTGAGCCCTGCTGCGTGTGCTTGAACGCATGTCTGTGCTCTGGCGCCGGGGGGGCGGGGGGAAGGACTGGGGGCTGGTGGGTCCTTGATGGCTGTGCCGGCACACCTGCTGGCCGTCTAGCTGTCAGCAGCAGTGCCTCGGTTTTTCTTGTGGATTCTAATCCTCCTGGAGGCGGCTCGAGCGTGTTCATGGGGCAGCGGGGCTGGAAGAACAGCGTGAGCTGAAGCTGCAAGGTCCCTTGAGGCTTAGAACTGGCTCACTGTCACTTCCACTGCGTGCTATTGAGGGAAGCAAGTCACAGCAGGTCCAGGTGCAAAGGCGGCCAGTGGGCGGAGCCTCAGTGCCTCCCCCTCCTTGGTGACCTGCCACATCTCCACAGATGGAACGACTGCCCCGTCCCAGGGCAGACACTGCAGTGGCTCGCTGCGCTATCTGCTCTGCCCTCCTTCCTTGGTCATGGAACCCTGACCTTCGTCTGGGCTCAGCATCACGACTACGTTTCTCAGACTTCCCCGAAGCTGGGACAGACAACATAACCAGATCTGGCCAATGAGTTGGTAGGAGAACCTGGCATACCTCCTTTGTCCCTTTCTCTTTTTCTTCTGTCTGCTAGCTGCATGGGTTCTGGATGCAGTGGCTGGAGCGTGAGCAGCCACATGATCCCATCAGGTTAGGCAGTAAGATGGCAGAGAAGCACTGAGGTTCCTGGTGAATTAACGTCTTTTGTGTAAGAGGAAAACAAACTTGTGTCTCCTTGAAGCCATTGTTATTCTGATGTTTTTGTTACTCACAGTTGAACTTGATCCTGTTAATGGACTTTCCTCCAAGTACTGACTGCTTTTCACCTTCTTTCTATTTCTTATAATTGCCCCCGTCTTACAAAGCGCTCTAAGACCACACTCACCTCCACTTTTCCGGATTCCTAGATTGGGTACTCAGGGAAGGCCTCTTTGAAGAGACGGAGCTTGCAGCGAGGAGAAACCAGGCAGGTGCTGTAAAGCACGCTCCTGCCAGGGGAACATCATGTGCAAAGGCCCTGAGGTGAAAAAGACATGTGAGTATTTGAGGAGATGAAAGAAGGCCCCTGTGAATGGAAAGCAAGGAGGGAAGGGAAGAAGAGGGCAGACAGTAAGCCAGACCACACAGGCACCATGTGGAAAACAGGAGGTTTTAGGCACCATTATGTTCTGATGGTTAGGACGAGGTTCTCCTGCCTGTAGTGGCAAACCTGTGTCAGTGACCTACACAGCCACGAGGAAGGCAGTCCAGGGTGCGCACGGAGGCTCCAGGATGTCATTAGGGATCCAGGCTCTGTTAGCTCTCTGCTCCACAATCCTTATCAGGTGGCCCTATTCTCAAGTCTCCTCATGGCCCAAGATGGCTGCTGGAGCTCCAATCACATCCATACCAGGCACGAGAAGGGAGGTGGAGGAGGCCTCCGGGTTGACTCAATCCCCTGTAAAGAGCTTCAAGGAAGCCCTTCTGAGTGGCTTCCTCTGACGTCTCGTTGGCTACCCTTGGCTGCAGGGCAGCCTGGGAAATGTAGTCACCCGGGAGCCATTAGGCATGCACATTCCCAGCCTATATAAATCGGAGTTCTGCTGGAGGAAAGAAGGGGAGACAGTGTGTGCTAGGTAACAAGAAGCCTTTGCCAGAACTGGGTTCACACGAGACATTTATTAAAAGCCTGTTTGTCCTATAGCTACACGCAACGTGGACGAGTCCAGCAGACATAAGGGTGAGTGAATGAAGCCAGAATTGAAGACTGCTCTATGATTCCAGACGAACCTAGTCGACGGTGATGACAGTCAGCAAAAGGGCGATTCCTGGGCCTCGGTGCCCAGGAGGAGGCATTAGGGAGCTTTCTGGGAAGCTGGAAACACTCCAGTTCTTGATCCGGTGGAGGTTATGAGGTGGATACCAGCATAGAAGTTAGTGAGGTATCTGCTTCACACTTGTGCTCTTACTGCACATTCCTTGTAACAAACTTCGATTTAGCCCTTTCATTGTAACAGGCGCTGTGTGCTGGGAGTAGAGAGAGAAAGACACCATGAACCCCGTCCGCAATGCAGCCTTGTCCTGGAAATGACAGTGTTGAGGGAACAAAGACAGCCGGAAGGAAGAGGAGTTTGACCTTGTGGGAGCAAACCTGGGAAGCCTTCCTGGAGGAGATGATACTCTAACCCGAATGTTGAAAATGAATGGGAATTTGCTACTGGCTGGAAGTGGCTGGGCAGGGAGGAGGTGGTAGAGAGGATGGTGGTGTGTGCATGCAGCTGCGAAGGCTGAGTGACTGCCGGGAGTGGGATGGGAGGGAGCAGCGAGCCCAACGCCGTGGAGTGGTCCTCTTGCAACGCTGGCATCTGTCTGCCTGGGGAGAGTGGGGACCTTGGGGGCTGCTGGGCCGGCGGCCTGTACCACATGGCTGGGCAGGCCGGCCGCTGGGAAGCCCTCTTCCTTCCCTCCATCCCTCTCCCCTCCTCTCTGCTGCTCACAACGTGGTCCTGAAATGACACCAAGAGCAGCTGCTTAAGCGATTTTGCCAATTAATGGGTCTCTGAAATTAAACCGCCTGCACAGCCTGGATGTGCCTCTCCGGGAGGAGTTTAGCAATTGTCTTCATGATAATCAGGCTTGACTCGCCTTCGCGCACATTAATAAAAAAGCGAAGGCGTCGGGAGAGATGCCCTTTCGAGGGGAGTATCGACAATATCGTAATGAGGCCTGGGGAGGAGGATGCTGAGGCCTGGAGCTGCATGCTCAAAACGGGTCCCCTCTGCCAGCGAGAGCCGGCTCCGGCCGGAAGCAGCCAGGCTCACAGTGGAGAATATCAATGCTCGCAGCCAGGCAGGCCGGGCTGGTCTGCAGGAAGGAAAGCAGAGGGCAGGAGATGCTGGGGAGGAGCAGAAGGAGGGCCTCCTGGAGGAGCAGGCAGGGTGGTGGCAGTGGGAGGGCAAGCCGGCCAGCGTGAAGCACCAGGAGCAGGAGCGCCGGGCTGCTGCCAGCCCCCTGCCCCCACACTCAGCAAGGCCCAGGGACCCTGCGTCTTCATCCACAGACATCATCCTGTGACGGCATGCCTTCCCCCACGCCAGAAGTGACCTCAGAATCCTCCACACCACATCCCCGACGCGACACTCCAAGTACACCCTCCCAGGTGGTGGGATCAGAACCAGAATTAGAGCCCACGTGCCATCCAGCCTGGGAATCTACACCTTTGCCCCCGCATTCAGCATCTTCCAGTCCCCCATGCTCTGCACCCTTTCCGCCATGCAGTCCCCTAGGGTTCCTCCCAACGGGCACTGTGTTGTCACAAGGATCAGAGGCTTAGGAGGTGAAGTTCTAACGGTGGGAACGCAGGAGTGGAGCACGGAGGTCCTCGAACTGCGACAGCCCCAGAGGGAAGGCAGCTAACAGCTTGCTGGCATCTACAGAATCAACCCCTTTTAACCTTTGCGTCAGTTCTCCTGAAAGGTGTGCCCTCTGTCTTGCGCAGGGGGATGTGAGGCTTGTGGAAAAGTTACACAATTTGCCCAAAGTTACATTGAGTAAGCGGCAGAGTTGGGACTGAAGCCCAGATCAGTGTGACTCTCAAGTCAGGTCAAGGAGGGGACACACCCCCCCCCCCCACTTGGCTCCTGTTGGGTTAGCGCGCTCAGACTAGCGCGGGAGAATTCAGTAAAACGGAGGATGTCCTTTGTGTGCGGAGCCTCCCAGCTGCCCTGGGAGAGGGTGAGAGTGGGGAGAAGAGGGGAAGGGGGCGGGGACAGGCCAGCAGCACCCCCAGTCGCCTTCAGTGATGTGTTACGCACTTGCTGTGTGCCCGGCAGACTCTGTAGAACATGTGAGCCGCCCCAGAGAGCTTAACAGAGCATCCTGTTCCCTTCGTATTAAGTGCGAGCTTCACGCAGCTCGCGGTGGGCTGCCCGCGTGTGAGACCTCGGATGTGCTGTCTGCACGGCTCGGCTCCGACTCGAGGTCGCGCAGCTCTCAAGGGGCTGAGTGCGGATGGGGAAGCCAGCCCGTGGGGGGGAAGCTAGGCTCACTTCGCACCCCCACCAGGGCACCCCGCCGCCCGTCACCGGGCGAAGGAGCCAGGGCCAGCTTTGTGACCTGGCGGGGGGCACAGCACGGTGCCCCCTGCCCCCAGCTGTGGTGCCTGTGTTTACTGCAGGGACGGGGCTGCTTCCCTGGGTGGCCCACGCCAGGCTGTCCTCTCCCACACTCCCACGGTCATCAGCAGTCTGAGCGCTGGACACCACGTCTCTCATTCTCTCTCTCCCCTAAACTCCCGACAGGGTAATTATTTTGGAATCAGCATACTTACTTAAACCTTCACGTAGTGTAAGGCAGTATAAGACTGTGCCAAACCTACACTAAATACAGCACATAACATCTACAGCTAAAACTGAAATGTTTTTTCTGAAAAAAAGGTCTCTGTTTCCTCCTCTCCGTGTGACTGTGTGTGCACAGCAGTTGCTGTCTGAGGGAAGGCGTTTGGTGTCAGTTAGTTTCCCTCGAGTGATTTTTAAACCAAGAACACACACGAGGCTCTAACTCCCAAGGCCGTGGCCGGGCCCAGACGTAGGACCACGGGCTCAGATCTGGGGACGCGTGCTAGGGCAGAGGGCAGAGCAGGCCGTCTCCTCCCCACACCCGCGTGAACGGCCTCTGTCCCCGCTTCGTCCCCCGCTTCATCACTAGCACTCACAGGGAGGTGCCGGGGCTGGGGGTGTTCCCAGCTCATCTCGTCCAACCCACACTCAACCCGGGGAAGCAGGCTCACCTAGAAACCCCACTTTTCCAGTTAGAGAAACTGAGACCGCCGACAGCATCTGCGTGGGATCACCCATCATTCTCCCCCCCTTGGCCCCCCGGTGACAATGGCTTCTGTGGGGCAGATGCCAGGACCCGGGGCAGCCAAGGACAGAGCGGAAATGATCCCGCGTCGCCACACAACTCAAGGTCTGTGTGTTTCCTCCATACAAACCTCTCTCCCCCGCCAAGTCCCTCTGCTGTGTCCCCCCTCCTGGCACCTCCTCAAAGAGAGGCGTGGGTGACGGAGGAGGGGCCTCCTGGGACCGCAGCCCCCAGGCCCTGCCCGTGTCACCAAGGGCCTCACTGGCTCCAAGCAGCCATGGCGACGGGAAAAGCCTGGACTCCAAGACATGAAGACAGAGAGCCCAGCGTTTCATTGGTGCCCTAGATGCTTCTTTCCCAAGTTAACAGCAATCACAAAGGGCCATGAGTTCCACTGCTTCCCCCGGTGGGGCTCCCACCTGCTGCCTGGATTCGGATCCCGTGCGGCTCCAGAGGCTGGCCTGGCGGCTGGCGCGGGCGGGCAGCTGGGAGGGACTGGGCGAGGGGTCCCCGGGGGGGCTGGCCCCATCTGCAGGCTCCCCGCCTCGGCGCGGGAGCCGGGCGCACTCCGCACACAGGGCCAACACCAGCGGCTGTCGGCGGAGGTTTCCGGGCCCTCGCCTGTCTGCTGTGCAGGTGGCTCTTTCCACTCAGAGAATGAAACGAGGGTCCTGACTCAGGTGACTTTCTAGGCGAAACTCAAGTCTTAATGTCAAGGGATAGATTCACCTTCCCGCAGGGCGGGACCGGGGTGAGAAGAGTGAGGAACCACGAGTGCAAACTTCCAGGAGATGCTTAACTCTCCAGGCCGGGCAAGTGTCTCCTTAAATCTGGGGTCCTAGCCCCCAGTCCGCCCCACCCCGACCCTGACCATTGATAAGCACGTGGGGCCTCATGGGCTTTCTCTCCCAGTCTCGTGGGAGAGGGGCCAGCCTTTCTTCTTCCTTTTCTAGATCTCACGGTGGCTCCCCTTGGCAAGAGGCCAGGTTGCACGGGCAGAGAAACGCAGTAGGTGATGCTCATAGACTTTGCCCATCCCTGTGGCCCTTCTTAGGACCGAAGCTGAGAGGGCGCACAGAGAAAGGAGGTGTGGAGGGGGGCAGGGGTTTTATGAGTTTATGGAGCTGTGACTCACCTTCTGTTGTTGTTGTTAAAATTTCATTCAAAATAACTAATCTCCCGTCGGTGCTAACTTCCTCCCTGGCTCTAACTGTTCCTTTGCATCCCATCCTCTCGGCTCACATAGCTTTGCTTTGCCTGATTCTTCTCTGCACGGAGCTTTGCAAAGTTCTGAAGTTTCATCCAAGTGACAGGTGGGCAGGGGCGGCAGGGCAGTGGAGGGAGCGTCCCGCTGTGGTTCCCCGCACCAAGGGGTCTCAAACTTGAGCACGGGTCAGGCTCCCCTGAAGGGCAGGCGGATTGCTGGGCCTGCCCCCGGGCTCCTGGCTCCGTAGGTATGGGGTGGGGGGTGCGGGTCGAGGTTAGCATTTCCAGTGACGCTGGTCTGGGACTGCCTCTTAGCCCCACAGCCCTGAGACGTTCTGCTAGAAGAGCCCTGGAAGTTAATGAGAACTGAGTTCAAACCCAGCTCTGCTGTTTATCAGCCGTGTGGCCTTGGTAATAACTCACATAACAGCCGCGTGCGGGTGCGCTGATCTTGCGGCAGCAACGGGGCCGCGTTCTTTATTTGGCGTCACCTCTTTTAATCCTCGTGGGAACGTAAAAGGAGCTTGGTGTTTTTAAGAACTCTGTCTGATGGACGCAGAGATGGGGGCTGAGGAGAGGAAACTTCTCCGGGTTCACACCACTCAAAAGTGATAGAGGCGAGAATTTAAACGAAGTCTGACGGCCGAGGCGACAGAGATGGGGCAGGGGACTAACGGCCCTCTTGCAGCCCACGGTCTACTAATGAGCAGGCAGGCGAAGCACCCAGCGTGAGGCCTGGCGCAGCGTCTCTGCTCACAGAGGGGGGCCCGGCTCCCTGAGAGAAGACCCCTGATGAAGGTGGAAGAGGCAGGAGCTCCCTGATGGCTCAGCGTCCCCGTGAGCCGAGCCCAGCCCAGGGGTGGGGAGAAAGCAGGAAACGGTGGACTGAGTGTCTCGGGGCCAAGCTCTATTAGCCCCCCCAGGGCCGGGTGGGTGGATCGGGGTCTGTTTCTGTGCCTGGAGAAGAGGACAGCCCACCGTCCCCGCGGGGATGCCCTCGACGAGGCGAGTGTTCGGGTCGGAGGCCTCACTGCGGCATCTCGGAGGCCTTGACAACTCCCATGGGAGACACGTGGCCTTTGGAGACCCGTATCAAGCCGTCCCCCGTCCTGTGTCCAGGCAGCTGCCGGCCCGGCAGAACCCGCCCAGACGTGGAGACGAGCCTCAGTGTGCTCGCGTCCTGTTTTCTCCTCCCACTTTGCACACGCTGATCGTCTTGCTTCCCCACCACCTTTATTATACTCATTGTCCTGCAGAGTAAGCACCCCACGTATACACGTTTGGCACCAGGCAGGCTACAGTAAAACGGGGCGCCCTGGGGTGCAGCCTCCAAGCAGAGAGAGTACAGGGCATGCCCACCCTGGAGCCCAGAGCACCCCTCACAGGGCACGTCCAGGCCAGGCTCGCGGGACTGGGTGGCGGGGAGAGGCTCCTGGCTCCGTGAGGCTGCGCCTCGCTACGGGGAAGGGGTTCAGAGAGCAGCTCGTCCACCGGTTGAAGAAGAGCCCTGCCCCTCCA